CCCATTATGGGCACTAGCACCGACGCTCATCTTCTTATGTGTCTTCACTTTAGATCTGGCCGTACGGTGCTGCATGTCATCCTGGAACAACTAAGGGACAGAGACTTTGCCCAGCTCTACCCTGGCCTGTGCGAGGACTGCTATCGCCTCATCTACGAGCTGTGCGCCAACAGAAGGACCCATCGTCCCATCTTCCGGTTCTTGAACAACAGAGAGCAAGGTACAGACAGAACAGAACGCTTGCCCCTCCTGTCCACTTTGACTCAGTCCCGCCCTCCGTCCACAGACTTCTTCTACGAGCAGCTGAGGATGCTGGCAACTCGATTCAGCAAGGACGCCACAATCTACCGTTCTGAGCTCAAGCAACGCTCCTGGCTCCTTAAGGTACGCACAAAGGACCCACGTGCCTAGATCGCCAATGCCGATTGATGCTCAAATGACAACCCGCTAACTTCCCACTTGGCGGAACAGACCGTGGCACTCGAACTGCACGTGAGCAGCGGGCGCAATCGCATGAACACGCACCGCCTGCTGACCATCCTCTACGCCACCCCGCAGAGCCTGCAGGGAGGTACGTCGCTCTTGGCCACCGGCACTTGATGTGGTGCATGTTCGTTTATTCATTTCGCTTTGCTCCCTCCAGGAGTCGACGACGAAGAGATTGATGAGCCATTCTCCATGGACCAAGAAGCAGATTCGCGCAAGATTCTCGCGCTCATGTCTTGTATGATCTACCCCTTCAGCCCGTGCTCGCTATGTAACGCCTCTCACCTTCCCCCCCCGGTGGCAACAGCACTTGACTTGACCCTGGAGCAGCCGAAGAAGCTCGCCTCGTCGCTCTTTGACGTCACAAAGATCGAGGCAGAGTGCCGACGACCCTATGAATACAACACCGAATACTACGACATCGATTCAGTCAATCAGATTCTGGTATGTTCCTCCTCTTCAAATTGTAGTAATCCCTGCTTACGACACCCTTTTACCTCCACCCACAGCTCATGCAGAAGAGGCAGCGCGAAGCGGAATACGCAATTCAAAGCGACCAACTTGCTCTTGAGGTTCGTTCGGCTCAACTGTCGTACTCGAAGTCCCAAGAGTAATTACCTCTGTGTCGTTCTCACCGAGCCCTTAAACACAGGCGGAGCGCATTCTACGGGAGGTAGTCGACTTGAACGCCTTCAGTGACAGGCTCGTGTCTCTGCTCAAGTACTTCGAAGCCTGGCGGCAGCTCACCGAAGTCTCTTTGGCCCGGTGCTACGAGTCCATCAGGTGATCCACCATCCACAGTTTTTGAATGCTGTGTTGCCTCGCTTACTGACGGCCGATGCAAATCTTACTCCTCTCCATCAGGCAAATCGCCGGCGAAGACGTGCTCTACGACCTTTTGGATATCCTACTCACCAAGTTGGCCAACGAAAAGGACTGCCGGCTTGCGGTATGCCCCTTCTCGCACTCTTTCGTTATTTACAACAAACAGCAATGCAAACGTTTTCCCTCAACCAGGTGGCGGAGAAGATGTCCCTGGTCGTGGTCTTTGCGCTGACCAAGCTTCGCGAGCAGCACAGGGGCGCCAGCCCCGAGGGTAAGATGGAAGCGTGCTTTTCGGTCCCTAAGAAAAACACGCTGACTGTTGCTGTGCCTTCAATCAGATCGACGCCGGTACTTGCCGACGGAGCACCTGCAGGAGATTTTGCAGGGCCTGGTGAAGGCAGCCCTGCGAAGGGACAGCTCCGTCCTGCTTCGCGGGAACATATATGGCGCGCTCCTCAACTACCTGCAGTTCACCCGTCCTCCTCCCCAGTCCCTGGTGGCCCACGACAACTCCATGGTTCGTAAACCTGCACGTCACGAACTTTTGCTTTGCAGCTCGCTCTCCGCTAACTCGCTGTGCACTGTAGGTCCAATCGTATTCGGAGCAGCTCGAGGGGCAACAAGAGTTGGACAAGCGTAATTTTGCTATCCTGGAGAGCGCCGGTGTTCGTCTGATCGAGACCATCGCCAGCGACGCCGCGCATTCGCTGAACCTGTGGAGGTACCGCATAATCAGCGCTCTCGGAACCTCCCCAGCTCCCCGATTTTATATTTACCCTCGGTGTCAACGTCAGGTCGCTGGCCTTCTCGCTGTTGGACGTTTTGATTGGTGACGATCACAACAACAAGCGCCTGGCCCACCTCTCGCAAAAGGGCTTTATCCGCCACTGCCTGGATGCGTTCAACCAGGAACAAGACACCATGTCATTCATCTTCTCCGCCGATGATGGTACACCTATTACCTCTAGCAAGCAATGCGTCGTACAGGGGTTTTCTGACGTCATATGGGCGTGTGTGCAGCTGCCCTCCGAGAGGCGATTGTGTTTGACTCTGAGCTGTCCATGCTGCTGCGGATGGTGCAAACGCCGGCCGGCGCTCAGCTCCTGCTCGAGAACGGCATCCTCCAGCGACTCACCGAGTGCAGGTGGATCGACCAGAGGCCCGACTACGCGACTCTTCAGGGTACTTAATTGTCCTATGGCTGCTGTTGCTGTCGCATGCTCTCATTAACTTTCGTTTCACGCACTTTTTACAGACGAAGAGAACAACTGGGCGCCTGGCTTGAGCGAGAGATACCATAACTTCCTCGAATCGATCCTCCGAATCGTGGTGTCGCTCCTCGTGGCCCTGCCTCAGAACCTTGCCGTTGCCGGAAAGGTACATCTCAATTGCTGCCAGTGATGGCTTGGTCAGCCCGAGGTGCTCACCAGATCGCCTTTTTAGGTCCTCGATTTTGTGTCCGCCCATGCGGATCTGTTGGCCGCGATCTTGAAGGACACCGCTGTCAACAAGCCGCTGGTCCTCAACGAGGTAGGATTGAATCTCTCCCTCTGTTTCCTTCGCTACTTGACAGTGGTGGCTGAAAAACGGTCGTGCTCCCGGCAGATCCGACTTGTTACGGAGATGTTCTACCACTTGGTGGCGAACGCGCAGAGCCTCCTGGTGCAGAAGCTACAGCAAAACGCCATGCGCTTCCACCACGCGCTGCTCAACCTCTTCGTGACGCTCACCAGCCGCGAGATTAGCTGGAACCAGGGCCGTTTCTCGTACCAGGTACTTCTCACATTCTTTTTTCAATGCAGTAGTATTGATGGACTCGTAGCGTCTAAGACTCTTGTACTTCTTCCCACCAGATGGAGGAACCTCGTCGCGCGTCAGTCCCTCTGGTGCATGAAATCAACCGAAACGTGATTGCCTATTGCCGCATTCTCTGCGATGCTGCGGCAGCCAACGGCACACAGGGCCTTCCTTCGATCCTCTTCACGCCCAACCTGTCGGCCAACGGTCGTGGTTCGTAGTCTTCTCTCGCCCTTTTCTGTTTTAGTTGCTCTCTGCTGATACGCTCGACCTTCCGCCCACCGAACGCGCAGAGACGGCACTGGGCCTCACCGCAAAGGCGAAGGCCCCTCCGCTGTCTTTGGTGCTTGAGTACCTGAAGCACGTTCTCCAGCAGTACGATGAGGCCCAGGAGGACTTCCAGAACGCCTTGGACAAGCACCAGCGCAGCGCAGCCCTGGCCACCGAGGAGATACTCGAGGTACTCTATCCAGCGTAAGGCCATAATGCCCCCCTTTAGGCTCTGACACCGCCTTTGGTTTTTTGTCTATAGATCCTCGCCGCCGCTGGTGACATGGTGGAGGAGATGTCGCCCCAGCAGCGCCTGATCCTCGCTCAGAACCGTCTCTCGGAGAAGATCCTCAGCAAGCGAAAGGAGACCCTCACCCTCCGCTGTGCGTCCTCCTCCAAGCCAACCACAACGCGCACCCTCAACCAAGCGCGCAACAACATGCTTATCTCTGCCAACCACAACGCATGCAACTCATCTCTGACGCTTGTGTGCGTAATGCAGACATGTTGGAGAATCTGCTGGTCCTCGTCTGGCGTCACCTTGCACACTACACCCGATCCTACGGTCCCTCGCTCTTGCTCGAGCTGCCCTCCCCGGGCGCAGCCAGCCGAGCGGCCGTGCCCATGTCCAAGGTACACATCACAACGCCACCGTTCATCTTCATTTCGTGCCCAGGCATTGGAGATCTGACCGTGGTCGGTCGATTGGCAGGTCGAGTCCGGGGTGACCCTCTCCAAGGCTGAGATTGAGGCGCTCAAGAGTGATGCCAAGAACGCCATTCAGGACACCCTCAACAGGTAACGCTTGCAATGGGCACTACCGTCAATACCACACAACTAGCATTGTTTGCGTTTCTCGTCGTCGCTCACCTTTGATCGGCACAGACTGCAAGACTTTAACCCCGATGACGAGCCCAAGGGCGCCACGTTCTACTACCTCACCGTAAAGAAGATCAAGGAACTCATCCGCTCCGACTAGAGCTAGTCAACGTGAGCCGAGCCCTCGTCTTGTCGTGGACTCTGAACTTGACCGACCAATTATTTGGTTGTAGCTGCCAATGAAGGGCTTTCTTGGTGCCCAGCAACACAGCATTTCTTTTCTCGTGTGTGCTGGAAGTGAATGAATGGAGGAGCTCGAGGATGAGATCGATAGGGAGAAGAGGGAGCTGGCTGCCCTGCGCGAAGCACAGCGGTTGAAGGAGCGCACGATTCAAGATTTAATCAGAAAGAAGGAGAGATTAAAGGAAAAACAGGAAGAAGAAGAGGAGTGTCACAACTGCTACGAGGAGGTGGCCGAAGAGGGAGACCATTCCTCAAATGCACAAAAATCTCCAACATTACCGCCAGGTTACGAAGAGGATAAGAGAAGGGTCGGCGAGGGGTATTACTACGTTGAAGAAGAAGATGCGACCCCAACGTACGAGGTTGTGGGCCAGCACGACGGTGGTGCGAAGTTCCACATTGAAACGCACAAGGACGGCTACCAGACCTTCACCAGAGTACATAGAGGCCTCGCCCTGATCCACTCATTGACTTCACCCTCCTGACCTCATCTCTGCTGTATGTGCTCTCGGCGACACCAGATTGGCACGACGTGTAAAGATCAACGAAGCACAAACGAGATGGAGAGCGGAGCTGGGCAGACAAGTGGAGGAGTTGTGTGCTACGAGGAGGTCTACGAGCGACGTGCGGGTGCGTACGACGGAAGGAGGGTCGTGGCGACGGACGAGTTCTACGTTGTGGAGGAGGTGGGGTCGGTGTACCTCGATGGCAAAGGGGAAGCAGCAAGCCATCAAGAAGGCAGTTCCTACATCGACGATGATGAGCGAGAGCCGTCGATGAGCGAGAGCGACGACGGTGCCAGGAGGAAGAAAAGGGACAAGAAGGCGAAGAAGAACGGCAAGGAGAAGAAGAGCAAGAGGGAAAAGAGGATGCGGGAGCGAGGGAGCCTGCTCAAGAGGGACAGCGGGAACAAGCACATCAGGAAGCTCATGCACGGCCTCGAGAGCGAAGGCGAGGAGGACATCCCGTGGCCCATCGACGAGAGGTGCGCCAAGCAGACTGGCCACGCACCACACACACACACACCATGAGGTCAGCTGAATTTCACTCACATCTTTCGTCACGGCACGTTCACCACACCAGAGGAATCCAGGAGCTCCCCATCAGCGTGTGGAGCAAGCGGTATGCTGCGTGTTCGTGCGCGTGTCGTGCGCGTCGTTCGTGTCGCTGTTTGCGTGCCTGATGAACCACGACACTAGGTTTCAGGCGTACATGGCATTGGAGGACGAGCAAACGAGGCTGCTGAAGCTCGCCTATTTGGCGCACGACTTTCAGCACGCGGCTGAGGTGTACGGACGAATTATCATCAGCGAGCGCTACCTCCCGGTGGAGGACAAAACCATAAAACCGTTGGACATTGGTTTGCTCTCCTTCTCTCAGCCTCGTGTGCGTGTGCGTGTGCGGCGGTGCGTGTGTGGTGCGTGTGTGGGTGTGGTCTCATGCGTTGCTGTTGATGTGTGCAGGTGGTGTGGCGGGAGGAGACAAGTATGTGGTGATGGGCATTTTGTTCAAGTTCGCCCTCGACAAGGAGTTGGTGAGGAAGAAGTGGATGTACGGCGATCGCATCCCCAACGACTCGCTGGCAATGAAGGCCGGTACGTAGTCCGTACCGCAAAGGGGTTTACGCTCTGCTCGAAGTGCTTGGTTTACCCTCCTCTCGCAGCTGACCACGAGCTGCGGTCGCTGGCTCGTATCTTGGCTTCGGAGACAACAGCGCAGCAATCAGTCTCTGCGCCCCTGATGGTACACACTCGCCACTGGCACTCGAGTAGTGGTGGTCAATCACTGACGTGACTCGGTGATGGTGGTGGTCAACTGCAGTCCATCGTGAACTATCGTGGCTTCCGCATTATAGCGGTGTCCGTCATCCCGATCTCCAAACAAACGATCATCTACGGCTCGCACGATGGCGGCAAGACTGTGCATGCCGACTACGAAGCGTTTAACATGCGCCTCAACCGTATCTTCGCCGGCTTCAACCTCAAGGTACGTACTCTCCGCGCTCCGCACTCGGTGGCTGAAGCCGCGGGGCGGTCCCGAAAGCTTACACCACCACCACCACCACCACCACCACCACCACCGGCTGTCACAGGCGCACATGGTCAAGGACTGCGTGCTTCAAGCCTGCGGCGACATCGAAGGGCACTGGGGCACGGTAACCACCTTCCACCCTGATTCTATCTCACCACTCTACTCTGCTCTGGCTTGGTCGCTCCGTCCGTCGTTGGTTAGTTAATGCGTGCGAGGCGTTGACGTACCGTGTCACGCACACATAGGACAACAAACTGTACCTCGCCGACTTTGCCCGGCTGTTTCCGCCCGAGGCGGGAAGCGTCGCGCAAAAGTATTTCACACTCAAGGAGCCTCGGGCCGGTACCGAGTCTCGCAAACTTGTGTTGTGTGTCGTGTCGTGTTGAGGCTCACTCGTGATCGATCTTGGCAACGCAGTGTTCTACAAGTTGCTGCGACCCGAGTTTTTGGTGTCCAACCCGGTTCCGCTGTGCAGCGACGCCTTCACCGGTTGGCAGTCCATGGACCCCGAGTGGCACGACCACAACCACGAGGTGAAGCTGGCCACAGAGCGGCTGCACAACGTCGTCATCCCCGAGTTTGTCAAATATTTGCATACCCTCTGCCGCATCGACCGCGATCGATTCCCCGTGTTGGTGCGCACCGCCACCGCCACCACCGCCACCACAACACCCGCCTCTCGCTGGTCTTCGGTCTGCATGCAGTATTTTTTCTCACCTACGCTTCTGTGGGGCTGCTGTCACCAGTACACTTCGTTTTGTCCGCTGTGCCAGCTCCAGCGGTGGGGAGCATCGGCGCAACAAGTCACCCACGACACCATCGAATCTGGCGCAAATACCGAGGTACACGACACGACCAACGACACGACACGACACGACCAACGACACGACCAACGACACGACACGACCAACGACACGACCAACGACACGACACGACCAACGACACGACCAACGACACGACACGACACTCACGAAAATTAATGTTCATTCTGTTTTTATCCACTGCAGCTGCTGTACGACCAGCTGCTGAACATACTGCATCGGATGCACAAGGACGGAATCAATCGGCGATACCTGGGTGCGTTGTCTGGCGCTCACCACGGTGTACTACGCGGGTGTCTTCTAAATGATCGTTTAACTAACTCCCTGTCCCACACACACACACTGCCAGGCGTGCTCCGGGGCCTGCTCGTGCAGTACGAGCATAAGTCCACCTGCCACTGGAAATACCGGGCGCTATTGTACACAGAGGTACGTCGTACCCGCGCCTCCCTCTGTGTTCGAGTCTTCACGTCGGTCTGACGCCCCTGTGGCCGTATAGATGGCGGCGCGCGTGTGTAAGAACATCATACAGGCGCTGCTGCGGGAGAAGATGAAGCGGCTCAAGGTGCCCTCGGAGGAACCCTACAGGCACCTGCTGCTCCAGATCTTCAACATGCTGGCCAGCCACTCGCAGGACTCGGTCCACTTCTGGTCGGCCATCAAGCCGCCGCCCATCATCATCAACCACTTCGCCGGCGGCGTCGAGCAGCGCGGCCCGGAGGACCGGCCCAAGGAGATGCCCCACGACGACGGGGACCACTACGACGCGTTCGAGTTCGAGCTGGAGGGCGGGGCCGAGTACTACATCTACAAGTACTTCCGATCGCTGGAGAAGAAGAACCGGGGCAAGGCCGAGGCCGAGGAGGACTCGTGGGGCAGCCCCGACGGCCCCGAGACCGACTGGGCCAACATCCTCCTGCCCATCAAGCTCTGCATCAAGGCCAAGTTTGGGTCGATGGCCTTCTACGGCGCCGAGTGGCAATTCAGGTATATCCCTACATCGTCTGTCTACTGACTCTACATTGGCTGATCTTATCACTCATTTATTTGCTGTCGCCTATTGGGTGGATCAACCAACTAACCAACCAACCAACGACGTATACAGTGACCGGCGTCATCCGTACATCTTCCAGGGCGTCTTCTTCAGGCGGCTGTGCAGCATGCTCGGCGTGGTGCTCTCCGACCAGCCCCGCATTTTCGGTACCTACTACCACCACGACTACACGTTTTAGGCCTTGGCTGGGACAGAGAATAATGTGCACCTGTGGCCCGCTCACGCCACTGCCAATCACACCACCCGACTGACCGGCCGACCGACCAGACGTGTTGAACGGGTCTCCGGTGACTAGGGTGCCGATACCGTTCGAGTTCATGGACCCGTACATCGCCGACCTCAAGGTTAAGGGCAAACAGCTGCAGATCATGTACCACAGCGAAGGGTACGTACAAAATTGTTATGCCACCATTTTGGGCCACTTTGGCTCGTGGGCGCCTTCAATCGGCAGCGACTACGTCCTTACCTCCCTTCGTCTCTTGTGTGGCAGAGTGGGGCTCTGGCTTGCCGGTCGGCGAATGGAGCAGGAGCTGGCTGGCCAGCAGGCACAGAGCGCCATCAACAAGAAGGTCGCCGGGCTCTTCCTCTTTGCTAAACGCAAACTGCGATCCGCTCTCGACTGGTCCGTCTTCCACACAACACACACGACACACACGACACACACGACACACACGACACACACGACACACACGACACACACGACACAATCACTCTTCCGAGCATGTAGGGCTGACCGTATTGAACAACAATCACACAGCATTCCAGACAGCGTTAACACGCTGCTGCATCTCGGGCGGGTCGACCACTGGCTGGCCCTGAACTGGGAGACCAACACCGACGTGTGCATCGCAACGCTCAAGAACGCATACGACTACTACACCCAGGTAAATAGATGGCACACACTCTTGACTCAGCGCTCACAATTCTGCATAGAACGCGTTTGGCTGACTTGTCATGTCCTTTCTTCTTCTTCTTCTTCTTCTTCTCTCTTGGCGTTGTGTCCCAGGCGATCAACATCTTGAAGATCCGCCAGACCTTGACCAAGGCCGACCGTAACACGCTCATCGAGGGTACCCTCGAAATGGCGCAGCTCCAGTGTAACCTGTCCATGGTGAGCACCACTGCAGCTACGGAACACCACTCTTCCGAACGTCGAAGTACGTTACGTCGCTTTGCTTGGATTCGTGCGCGTCTGTTGTGTCTTTTTTCGGATGCGCCGATGGCTCAGTGTGTGGTCACGCATTCTGCCTCTGCATTTGCATACAGAAACGCTGTGGCGCAGTGCGTGGCAGACCTACCTGGACATACTGTTGGACTACAGCGCCGCGGTCAAGCCGATCTTCCTCAGCGAGATCGAAGAAGCCATGACACTCGAGAAGACAGACGATGTTCATTACCCCGGCAAGATCGGTATGGCTACTTCTCTTTGTGTGTGTGTGTGTGTGTGTGTGTGTGTGTGTGTCGGTGTGTGTCGGTTGTGTGTGTCCTTGAGCGCCCTGCCACGTCAGCTCACGCGGCTGTTCCGGGGGCGGGGTATGTGTGCAGTGTCGGCCGTGATGAAGGTCGAGGCCATGCGCAAGCTGGAGACGCACGAGTACAAGTCGTCGCTGATTGCCCGCAAGGTAAGTCGCAGCAGATTGCAGTGCGATAATCAAAAACACGTTATTGTGTGCGTCAGCGTGTTGCTTGCGTGCCGCCACGATCTCCCGGCTGATCAGTTGTTCGGACTCTACAGACGGCCTACGAAAAGCAGAAGGCGAAGAAGGCCAAAACGAAGAAGGATTCTGAAGCCACCTCCATATTCCACCTCATCGGCTCATTGACCGGTACGCCACCTCCCTTCGAACCTCGTCTAGGTGAGGTCGACGTGTTGATCTCTACTTGTTTCATTTTATTTTAATTTTATTGCAGTGGGCGACGTACTGTCGGCGAGCGCCATCGAGGCCGTGCCCGTGGTGTCCTCGCCTGCGACAAGAAAGAGCGTCAGAGCCGAGAAACGGTATGGCGCAGAACCTTTCAGTGATGACACAGATAACCACACCAGGCTCAATGGCCGAATCACTCACCAGCTGTGTTTCCCTCCGACCAGACCTTCGCTTTCGTCGCTCAGTTCCACGCTGAAGCTCACCCTGCTGAAGCCCAACTCCACCAAAGGTCTTCCATTCTCTTTCGCCCCTGTGTCTGCTTGTGGCCTTGCCCGGGGTATCATCATGGACGACTCGTTGACCTCGCAGCTCTTTCTCGATGCGCCGCTGCTGACCACAGCCGGGGAGGACATCCACCCGGAAGAGATGGACGGCCTGCTACTCTACCTGTGGAGCTACAACGACCGGACCCTGTGCTGCAACCTGAGCAACGATGACGAAATCTGTACGCGCGCACGCCTCGCACCACACACACACACACACACACACACACACACACACACACACACACACACACACAACGCCAGCAGAGTCTGACGCACACACACGCGCACGCAGACCTCGGATCAACGGGCAACTTCGCGCTGTGGTGCGCGAAGCGGGGTGAGGACGGGCGGATTCTGCTCAAGAATCATCACCAGAAGTGGCTGTGCGCGGACAAGAACGGTAAGCTGCGTATCGACCGGGAGCAGTCATCCAGCTGGGAGGTGGAGAAGATCCCCGACAAGGACGGCGCCGAGCGGAACGAGGTCGCCCTCCGCTGCCGCGGTACCCACCACCACCACACTACCACGGCCGCAGCTCGCCTGTGGGCTGACCCGATTGTTTTTGGCGTCGCCACAGATACGGGCAAGTACATGAGCGTGTCGAAGCACGGGCTGGTGGCGGCCGACAAGCAGGCCCCCAAGTCGAACAAGGAGAGGTGGCGCCTCACCAGGTTCGGGCTGCTTCCCTCTCTCCACCACCTTCATGCTCTCACATTCCGTTGCCCCGCGTGCTCACACACACACACACACACACACAAACGGCCACCACTCTATGAAACCAACATGCACGCAGGGCCAGCAACTTGTTCAACATCTGCTCCCTGAGTGGCGACTACCTCTACTTCGGCTTGCGCGGCGAAGTTCGCTCGACCTCCGGTGCGTCTTCCCGATCAACTGCCTTTCTCGTGGAAGATCAGATCGAATGGAGGGCTGACTGGAGCCACAGGGGTGCCGAAGGAGTTCAACACGTGGATGATCGAGGAGGAAGGGGCGGAGGCGGAGGCGAAGAGCCCCGCGGGCGGGGTCATCGTGTCCATCAAGTCCATGGACGGCAATTACCTGCGCTACGACCCGGCGAGCGGGCTGGTGGCCAACAGCCCCACGTCCGTGCAGACCTGGAAGAAGCGCATGCACGCCAACAGCAGTGCGCATTCCCTCCGCCTCTCTTCTTGGCACCGCCGCTGCAGCCCTTTTGGCTCACTGTGCTTCTCCGTCTTCTCTCATCATGTCAGCGCTCGGGGAAGCGTACACGCTCGAACTGCACGAACCCCCGCCCACGGGAGGCAACCGCCGCTGGCTCAGCATCGACGCCGAAGGCAACGTCCTGCTTTCACACACGGTACGCGCAAGCCTTGTGTTCTCCTCTCTCGTCACTCCCTCTCGACCTTGTTTGCTTACTCGCGTGTGCGTGTGCGTGTGCGTGTGCGTGTGCGTGTGCGTGTGCATTGCTCGCAGAAATGCCGATGGGTGGTGCATCGCTACTCAACGACGTGGGCGCAGAAGGTGGGCTTCCTCTACTCGAAGCTGGTCTTCCTCTACGGGCCGGGCATCTCAGCCGAGCTGCGCCTCGGTGTCTTCGTGTCCTGAGCACTTCACCGATCGGTGGCGGTGAGCAAGTGGTCTTGACATCGCCCAATGTAGCCAGCCTTCACAACGACGCCACGATGCAGACATCGTCGGGCACTGCTCCAGTCCTAGGCCGCTGCTCCCCGGCCAGCCGTGAACGGCCAGTCCCCTCGGATGGCGGTGGAGGCCGTGTCAAAGCTGAAGCCCTCGTCCTTCTCCAGGTGGGCCACAAACCTGTCCAGGGAGGCGTGGAGGTCCGACTGGCCGAACAGAAGGAGCGACTGGCCCACCTTCCGCAGTCGAATGTCATGTCGTCCCCATTGCTGCTGCTTGCCTGATCGGCGCCGAAAGGGTCAGCTCGACGCTCGGCGATGGCCAACGTAGATGATGGTCTGAGACATGCATGATGCGTACGCACCTGGGTTGGTGACGGGCTGCTGGCGTTCGATGTCCCAACCCCACGACAACGCGATCAACTCCACGCCTAGACCCACGACGTTAGACCACGCCACACCGCGTGCCACACAAGATTTAGGGAAGAAGGTGCCTTTGCGGTAGAGGGGAAGGAAGGAGGGGTCGGCGAGGAGTTGGGCGGCATCGGCGCGACCGAGCGAGTAGGCAAGCCCGTAGTTGGTGCTGGGCAGGTCGATGGGGAAGGCCCACCAGTCGAAGTGGTTCCTGGGGAAGTCGGACCACCGGCCGCAGTCTGCCCACTCCTGGAACTTGGCCACCTGCTGGGCGTGCTGCACCCTTATTTTGTCCAGGCCCACGAAGGACTTGTCTTTGTTGTGGCCCTCCTTGTCCATGTCACTCCAGTTAGACCTTTATATTTCCCTTCTTTTTATCTGATTTGCAATTATTTTTGATTTGCAATTATTGTATTTGTCAAAATCAAAAATCAGCGCGAATGGAGGGGACGAAGCGAGATGCGAACATTTTGATCACCGGAACGCCGGGAACGGGCAAGACGACGCTCTCCGAGCTGGTGGCGTCGAGCACGGGCCTACGGCACATCAACGTCACCGATCTCGTGAAGGAGAAATCGCTGCACGAGGGCAAGGACGAAGAATTCGATTCCTACATCTTGGACGAGGACAAGGTATCTTCGTCATCATCAATTGATTTTGGCGCGTGCGACACCAAATCACACCCAATTTCTCAGGTTTGTGATGAATTGGAGGACACGATGACGAGCGGAGGCAACGTGGTTGATTTCCACACCTGCGATTTCTTCCCCGAGAGATGGTTCGATCTCGTAGTGGTGCTGCGCGCCGACAACAGCATTCTCTACCCGCGATTGGTGAGCAGGTACGTCTTTCATCTTCTTTCCTCTTGAGAGCTCCAATCTCATCTCAATCTGGCTGGCGTGTGCAGGAGCTACAAGGACAACAAGATTCAGGAGAACATGGAGTGTGAGATCATGCAGGTGGTGCTCGACGAGGCGCGGGAGAGCTACAAGCAGGAAATCGTGGTGGAGCTCACCAACAACACCGTCGAGGAGATGGAGTCCAACGCATCGCGCATCCAGCAGTGGCTCGCCAGCTGGCGGTCCAACCAACAGCAACAATAAACCAACCGCAGCGATGTTCTCCTCTCGACTCGTCTTCCCCAAGCGTTGAGCCATCGGTGATGACGATGAGGCTCATCGGCAGGGCTTCATCATTGCCCGCAGCACGCGTCTCTTCCCAAAGATAGGGTATGATTGCAGATTGGCGCATCTTGAAGCCAAGACCAATTCAAATAATAAAAAGAAAAAAGGTTGCCCCAGTGAAAATTCGGCAGGTTGGCCCGCAGCGAGTCGTCCGCTCGCCGCTCGACGTGGCTGAACAAGACGACCATGAAGGTGGAGGCGGCGGGGCTGCCCACGAAAGTTCTCCTGCACCGCGAGTGCAGGTGGCGACAAGAGCTCCTTCAACCTTTTCTACGCCCGCTTCGCCTTCAAAGTACTAAACGAGAAGACACCGCACAACCAGAAGAAGCGCACAACACAAACCGTACACCAGATGAAGAAGTTCAGCCAGAGAATCGGAGAGGGCGTGCGAATCTACAAGAAGACTGAAGAAGATGAGGACTTCGTTCAGCAGGAGAAGCTGGTCGACACCACCAGGTACGCTGTGCCCCGCACCTTGCGCGAAGATGAATCTCATCTTTTGTGCTACGCGCCGTGCACAGGGACGCGACGGACAAACTGGTGAAGTGTCTGGCGCCCAAGGCCGGACCTAAGAACAGAGCCAAGAAGCTGGTGAAGACCGGCGAGAAGATGCAGGAGGTGGACAGAAACACAGTACGTCCAGCTGCCGAGCTCCCAACTCTCTACATTCCTTTTCGTTGTAGCTCACCGCTATCCCCTTGTCCAGTCTGAGTTCGGAAAGGGTGTGGCTTGCCTCGGTCAGACGATGAAGGAGCTGGGCCATGAACATGCAGAGCTGGTACGCTTCCTTGTGTCACCTGTAAGCGGCCCTGCTATTGCTGAGATGGTCCGCTGACGTGCGACTGCACCCACCCCTGCAGGAGAACCACATCGCCATCAACACAATCAATCCTCTCAAGGCCTACCGCGACGGTGACCTGAAGGAGATCGCTAACCTCAAGAAGAGGTGCGCCGCTCACCCTTCCGCTTTGAGGTCGATTGACCATCGCCGCTCACAGCTCCCGTCACGTGCAACGGTTCATCTCCTTTGGTCAGGTATGAGAGCAATCGTCTGGAATACGACACGGCCAAGCGGGCCTATCAGTCCAAGAACACGCCCGAGAACGAGGACAAGGTGAACCGCGTGAGAATGCGGTACGAAGAGGCCAGGGACGCCTACTACGAGAAGCTTCAGCACAGCCAGGACGATGACCACGAGCACCTGGAACATTTGAAGGCCTACGCCCGCGCGATGGTATGCCACTCCAAGAGAGCGATGTCTTCTGTTGGGTGAATGGAAAGTTTCACACTGGTCTCTGTGATGTGCTTCAGATCGACTACCATCGCAAGTGCATGGGGCTCTTCCAGGCGGCCGAGAAGGAACTCGACATGCTTACCGCCTCCGCTCGTCCCGTCACTTCCCGCAAGGGCTCCTTTTCCCACGAGTCCGAGACCCACCTTGTCACTGGCCCATCGGTGTCGCAGATGAACGCAGGCCCCGCGCCGCAGCGACCTCCCTGTACGCTCTGGCTGTCATAGCCTGTTCTGCAGCACCGTATGGCTGAACTGACTCCTCCCTTCTCGAACTCCAGCAATGATGATGGGACACCAGCCCTACCAACAGCAGCAGCACTACCAGCAGCCGTCTCCTCAGATGCCCCATATGCCGGCGCAACAGCACCAGTCATACGGCGTGGGGGCTCCCATGATGCCCCCGCGAGCCCATCAGTCGCAGGGACCAGCCGGCCACGGTCCTGCTGCCCACCCAAGCATGCGACCCGCTCCCGTGGGAACCGGCCAACACCAACACCAGCAGCCGCACCAGATCCCGCACTCCTCGCCGCGAGGAGCCGGCGAACAGCCCTCCTTGCCCATGCGCCCACGCACCAACTCAGGTAAACTTTCACTCGCACCACGATAGCCAAGTTTTACTGTTTTTCCTCAGCCCAGAAGAGTCAGACTCGCCACGCACTCACTTTCATGGCATTGCAGCAGGACCCAGGCCCATTGAGCGATGCCGCGCGCTGTACGACTTTGAGCCATCCGATGTGCCCAACGGGATCTCGATCAAGGCCGGCGATGTGATCACTGTGCTGAACAAGACGCCATCGGGTTGGTGGGAGGGCGAGCTGCGCGGCCAGACAGGGTTCTTCCCATCTAACTATGTCCAGCCGATGTAAGAGCGAGAGGAGCCATCGTGATGATCATGTTCTCTTGCCACCGCAGATCTCCATTCGGTCTCTTGTACATACGCCCAGGCCCACGTGCCCAACCACAACATCACTCTTCACCACATGTTCGCACTTTTGCCAAAAGGAGACAATTCCCCCTTATTGGGGAACTCACAACCGGACGTGTGACCGACGGCAACACAAACGGTTGTAGCAATATCATGAGTCTGCCATGGCGAATTACTTGCATTCAGCCAGTGGGCTCTTTACCGGCAGTAGCGCGGCACACTTATCTGCTTGCTAATCTGCAGGGCATGGTCGTATCGGGACGACAGGGGCGATAAATGTCATTGGCGCTCTGAGGCCAATGGGGTTTTAACGCTCAATCAGCGCGCCAATGACATTTATGGCCGTCCGAAAAATATCCTTGTCCGGCGGCGGGTTCGCGGTTTGTCGTGGGGAATTACCGGGCCGCAGTATAGGCGTTCACCACCCCATCAGAAGGTGTCACCACCACCGCCACCCCGGCCCGCTTGGGCAGTCCCGCAGAGCAAAAAGAACAGAAGCCCGACAAGGTCCGGGCGGCAGCTTGACCATCTTCGCCGTCAGCGCAGGATTTGCGGCTTCTTCGCTCCTGTCACGGCGCCACACCAGTGCGGGCAGCCCGCGGTATCGCCTCTGCTTCTGTCTGCTTCCCCTAAACCAACTTCGGCCGTCCATCATCCCCTTCTCCCCATTGACAGCAGAGCCCGTACAAGGTGTGGTGGCATACAACACAGACCACAGCTCACACCACAGCTTCACTCCCAGCACTCACCCGATCACTCCACTCCCACAACAGTACACTCAACCACCATCAGACCGGCGAGAGTCCACGCGTGCACCAAGTAAGCCAAAACTAACTCAGGTACTCTACTCCCGGACGGGAAAGCCCGGGCCACTCGCGCCACGAGAGACCGCACAGAGCAACCATACAACCAACGACACCCAGGTGCATCTGGGCTTGCGCGCATGCCGTTGGTGGTTCTCACACTCAACTCGGTGCCGTCGCTCGTGGTGTTTGTGTTCGCTCCTCCGGAATCGTCCGAGCAGAACAGGGATGAAGGTCTCAAGAACGAAGAAGACCAGGAGCCGGGCCGCCAGCCAGCTCCGGAGCGGTTCAACGTCACACCTCCACGCCGCGAACTCGCCCACGTCGTCCTCTTCGGCGTCGGCGGCGTCGCCGCCCCAAGAAGAAGAAGAAGAGGCCCTAGACGAGCCTGGCAGCCGCGGCCAACCCCGTTCGGGCCAGGCGGGGGAGCAACAACAGAAGAAGAGAAAGAGGACGAGAGAGGAGCAAACAAAAGAGAAGAAGAAGAAAACGGAACCAGAAGAAGAGCAGGAAGAGCAGGAGCAAGATCAAGAAGAGGAGCACAGAAGAAGAAGAAGAAGAAGGTCGAGCCTGCAGCGGCGAAAAGAGATGGAGACGGTTGACCACAATCGAGCGTTGGCCACCGGTCGAGGCGCTGGAGATGCCAAGGAGGAGGGAGAAGATGAAAGCTCTGAGGGCGAGGAGGAAGAGGGTGAGGGTGCCGCCGACCTGCACACCCAGGCACCCGACCAACCCACAAAAAGGAAGAGGAAGAAATCGAAGAAGAAGCTCGAAAGAGAACGCACCCTGCCCATCATCGTGCAGTGGTACTCACCCCCCTCCCAATACACCCAGGATTTATTTGATTATTTTTTTTCATTATATTATTTATTTTATAAAGTGAACTATTTATTTTCGTTATTGTTTGTACCAAATGGAGCACCACACGCAGCGTACATGTTCCCTTTTGCCAACCGAGAGAATAATGTTTATTTATGGTAGTAAGTGCGAATTGTTAGTCAGCCAGGACTGACTTGGGCTCTTGCTCGGCTTTTGCTCCTCCAGGCTGCAGGACACGTACGAGGAGAAGGAGGGCAAGACGGTTGGCCGGTACCAGGTCTATGACGACTACATCGAGTTCTGCGCCCGGGCAGGCCACCTCCCCACCAACAACGCAGCACTAGGCAAGATATTCAAGGTATGTGTCGATGGTGACGACATGTTGCTGTTTATTATGATCATTGGTAGTGTCTCCTACCAAATCACTAAGCTACGTTGTCTCCCCCACGCATCGACGACAGCGAGTGTTTCCGAATGTGGGGTGGCGGCGCCTGGGCAAGCGGGGCGAGAGCAAGATGCACTACGCCAACATCCGCAAGCGCAAGGGCAAGGTCGAGCAGGCTGCTCTACAGGCCTCCTCCTTCTTGTCGTCGTCTTCTTCGTCGTCGTTGTTGACCCTCACCAGCGGCAGCGGCGGGATCAAGGCCGAACCCGACGAACGCGAGCACGGGTACGAGTCGAAGGCCCGCGCGGTTGCCAGGATCAAGGAGGACAACGACGAGTTTGGGGACGATGAGGACGACGACAGCGACGGCGACGACAACGAGTACAGTGACACCGGCAGCAGCAGCAACAACAACGGCGGCGGCGACCGCGAGAAGGGTCGGGGATCAATCATGGAGCTGGAGCGGGAGCTGGAGCTCGGCGGGGTCGAAGGAGGCGATGCGTTCATCGAGCTGTTGGGCGAGAGCGCGGTGGCCGCACGACACGATCGATTCGCTGGGTTCGGCGGTGGCGATGGGTCCGTGTTCGGCGGTGCGGTGCCGATGGCGCAGCACCGGACGAAGTTCCCAGGCCGCGAGCGAGAGCGCCGGTGGCGCAGGCGAGATCACCTGACCACCTCGCGCGAGGAGATGGAGGAGCCGCGCGGCCTGTTCTTCTCCAGCGGCGTTCCGTCGCCCTCGTCGTCACCGTCTTCGTCGTCGTTCCAAGGCAGCGCGATGATGGCCGCCCCGCCCGGCAACCTCTCCATCTGGAACGCCGACGCGCACCTGGACCTCATGATGGCCGTGCGCTACTACCGGTACTCACTCTTTCTCGCTGTGTTCTACCTTTAAATTTCGGTCGCTAACGACACACACACACACACACACACCACACGACAGGGACCGATTCAGGAAGATATCGTGGAGTCTGATCCCCATCAACCCGATGAGCCTCAAGATGCGACTGCTCAACTACCTCTTCTGCACCGAGGAGGGGCAGCTCGAGCGGAGTTCGCTATCGCTGTCGGCCTGCGTCATGATCAGCATCGGTACGCTCGCTCGCTAGCGCCTCTCAGACCGCTTAGCCCCCCCTCCCCTCCCTCTCAATAATTAAAACCCTTACGGTGTCATCAGCGAGCTTCGGTGCCGGTCATTTCGACGTGGCCGAGGAGTTCTTCCACAAGGTACGCCTCGTGTGGAGCCCCTCTTTGTGCCCTCAATGCGCGTGGCGCGCCGGCGATGCTGATCGCACGACAAACGAGCAGGCCAGGGAGCACTTGAGCTACGTGTTCGACTCGTCCGACTACGACGTGGCGAGCGCGCTCGTGCCGCTCGCCTGGCTCACCACCTTCTTCTCGCCCACGCCGGAGGAAGGCCGCAATCGTCAGATCTACTTCTGCACCATCGGCACCAAGATATGCGAGCAGGTGGGCGCCTTGAACGACGAGACCCATTGGGCACTGCTCAGGTGAGAGACTTCACACGCGTAGCGCCCGGCTGGCGGATGATTGATTCTCACCATTGCGTGGGGTACAGCACGCTGCACGTCAAGTCGATGGAGAGTGCGAGCGACGCCATCACCAAGACCCGAGCCTACCCACCATACCAAAAGCAGTGGAAGAACACGCGGCTACAACGGTGCGAATTCCCACGACACACGTTACACACAACACTCGCATTTGGACTGTTTCTCTCTATTCGTATGCTATGAATATATCATATGTCTATATGCTTATGCAGTGTTAGCAGAGGGCGGATCTCGGGCACCTACGACCAGACGGGCGATATCTTTGGCTCGGTGTTTGCGCTCAGCGTTCCCCTCATCCGAGGTACGCCCCAGCGTCGCTGCACCGCCCCGCATCGCACCCACAATCGCACGCGGCGGCGCTGACGACGCGTCTGGTCGCATCACAGGTTTCAGCCTTCCTCCGGAGGAAGAGAGGCGCATCAAGCACGGGCTGATGGTCCAGCTGGGCCGACTTCGCGAGGCCGAGCAGGGCCTGGTGCACGCCCAAGACCAGCAGGTGCGGGACATGATGGCCGCGTACTACTTCGCCATGCGTACGTTCATCAACGTGCTGCTCGAGAACTCGCGACAGATCGAGACCGCCAGGTGCTCCCTCTTATATTGATATATTTTACTTAATTTGCCTTCTTATTTTATTTTATTTTATTTTAATGTACTAATGAAATTTATTTTTCGGCCGGTTGCAGGGAGTTGGTCAGGACGCTGATGCTGGCGGATCGCCCCATCATGGCCGTGGTCCTTCACGAGCTTTCCTCGAACAAGTTCCTACTCATTCGCACCGCGGTTCGCCTCCTTTTTGACAAAGACCTCTCTGCGCTTTGCTTGGCTGACCCGCGGCACACCACACACAACACAGGTCCAAGTGCTGGTGCGCTACAAGGAGTACAAGGCCATAAAGCTCCTGATGGAGGCCATCTACCCGTTCACCTCGCGCTTTCCCTGGATGCACGCCATCTACGTGCTCACGCAGCAGGCGGTGCAGGAATCGTTCCACGGCCTGCGGATCGCGAGCTGCTCCCCGCCCCTGCCGCTCCCCGCCCAGGCCCAGTCGCTTTCCTCCTCCGCCGCCTCCTACCCTCCCCTCAGCGCCCTGGTCTCGGCCAGCGCCGTGCCGCCGCCTCCTGCCTTCTATCTCCCCTCCGACTCCTCGCCGCTCCATTCTGCGCCTCACCACCAGCACCCACACTCGCACCCACACCAGCCCCAACCACCCCACTACCAGCCTCGGCCGCACCCACCGCAGCCGCAGCCTCACCTGCACGCGTACGGTCATCACACGCCGGAGCCGATGCAGCGCGCCAGTCCCTCGCCGCAGCTGCCCGACCGGCGCCCCTCGTCGGCCTCGTACTCGTACATCTTCTACGCCGACCCTTCGTCGTCGCTGTCGTCGTCGGCTGCCGCCTCCGCCACCGACCCGGCCTACTTCCCGCTTTCCTCATCGTCTTCGGCGTCGACCTCGCCCACCGTTGCGCCGACGGCCCCCTTCCAATCGGCCACCGGCTCGGCCTCCTACCCGACCATCTCGCCGGAGCTGTCGCCTTTCCCCTCTTCGTCGTCGCGAGCAACGGCCACCTTCCGGCCGATCACGTCCGATCAACCCGGGACGACCCACCCGTCGGGGTCGCCGTCGCTCGCGCGGGCGCTGGACGACATGAGCCTGCTCGAGTCGCTGCTCTCCTCCTCACCCTCGTCTTCTTCGCCCTCCGGGTCGTCGTTGTCTTTCAGCGCCACCTCCTCTACGTCGACGTCGATGTTGGCCGCCGCCTCGTACGAGCCGCCACCACTACTCGCCCAGCCCTGGGAGCAGGAGATGCACCTCTACCACCCCCAAGGCCCGCCGCCACACGCCCACACGGGTGGGGGTGGCCAGCCCGCGGTGCCACAGCTGGACCCGGCCGTCCCACGACACGGCAGTGCCTGATCGGTCAGTGTGGCGAGTATATAAATATATAAATATTTGAAACTCAAATAAAAGAGATGGCCCATTTTATTATTTGGACGCCACACACGAACCCGAACCCACTGCAACCACCGATACGGCCAGGTCAAGGCAAACCTTGTAACGCGTCTGCCACCCACCACAAGCCCACGTCGTGCACAAGCGAGCGCCCCCGAGACGATGGAGAAGGGAGGGCCACGCAAGGCAAAAAGCGCCGACGACCACAAGCAAGGCGCAGAGGCGGAGGAACAGAAGCCGGACACAAGGCAAGCCGAGACGAAAAGTGCAACAAAAGAAGACGTGCCACGAGACAGGACGGAGGTGAGCGAGAGCAAGGAGAGGCCACATGCCAAGAAGTCGGCAGAAGAGGAAGAGGAGGACGAAGAGGAAGCAGCAGATGGCCCTGCTCATCAGAAGGGTTGCATTTCGCTCATCTCTGCGGAAGATTCTGTGGCTTGGTTCGTGTCGATGCATTCTTTCACGGTTAATCTCTATCAGGGCTGATTGTTGTCCATTTTGCGAATGTGCAGGCTGCACACCCACTACGAGTACCACCCGGGCGGTCTGGTGCAACGAGATGAGATGAAAGACGCCTTTGCAGCCTACTGCGCCAGCCTTGGGCAGCGCCCTCGGCAGGCAGCTGCCTTGGGCAAGATCATCAAGGTGCGTGGCAGCGTGTAGCGGCTATGTGGGGGGGCACACCTTCTTATCATCGTGGTGCGTATGCTGCGCAGGCCACGTTCAACGAGGTGAGTCACAGACGGCTGGGCAAGCGAGGCAGCAACAAGATGTACTACCTCCACCTGCGAGCCAAGGGCGAGTCGCCAGAACAGGAGACCAGGCCCTACACGCGTCGGCGCCGGGGCGAGGCCGATGACATGAGCCACCTCGCTGGAGGCAATGGCACGAGTGGGGGCAGGCGCAACATGGTGGGCCTGGTGTGTGTCCTGGGTACTTGATCGCTCTTGTCTTGACACAGCACCGCGTACCAGCACTGATCACACGTATTGCGCTGAAGATGGACGCAACAAGGGGAGCCAGAAGCCGCGTGCGAAGCGAAAGCAGGTCGACGACGACGAGATCGACAACAAGGACGAGGTGGTGCGGATCGACCCACCGGGTGCTGGCCGCAGCTCCAGCTCAACCTCAACACCTCGAGCACGGCGAGGTGATGCATCCCACCTCCGCTTTCGTGACGCCAACGTTTGCATGGCGTTCGATAGCCAGGTCATCTGGCTGAGGTATTCCGCCCCTGCGCTTCGCCACAACAGGACACAGAGAGAGGCGGCTGGGGGTCTCACATGTGATTTGCTTCGGCAGGGACATGTTTCGGCGCGAGTACTGGGCACTGGCGCCCGTCAACCCGGCCAGCATGAAGACACGGCTCATCCGCAGCGTGTTGTCCGATGGTGATGGCGAGAAGTCTTCGCTTTCGTTCTCCTGTCTGGTCATGCTCAGCCTCGGTATTTTCCTCTCTTCAACTGCGGTCTGATGGTGCAATGCACCACCGCAGCAAACATTCACCTTCTCACCATTTCTGTTTGTTACAACTCCAGCCAACTTCTTTGCCGAGAACTGGGACTACGCGATGGAGCTGTTTTACAAGGTAAGGCCTGATCACCGCACCCCACGCAGCTGGGTGTTTGCTGGAACCGCATAGTCACCGTCGCTGCTTTCCTTTCCTACAGGCACGGCGGCACCTGGAGGCGGTGTTCGACCAGACGGACTTCGACGTCGCCTGCGCAATATCGCCTTTTGCTTGGTTCTCCCGCTTTTACTCCGACAGCTTGCTCGAGGGTACCTACCGCTATTGTCTACTCCACCACGCTCTAGTGCGCTGCTCTCTGACGCTCCTCATGTGCTGCTGGTTTTGCCCCAGGACGTGAGACCGTGCTCTACTACGCTACTCTGGGAGCAACCATATGTCAGCAGCTCAACGCCTGCAACGACTTTGCCTACTTTAACCTGGCCAGGTACGGCTCTGGTAATTCTCGCTCTCCCTCCTCCCCGAGGGGCCGTCATCTCATGACTCTGACTCTTGCTTGCACCTCCAGCCTCATGTGCGCGGCAAAGGAGGCGGGAGAGGAGGAAGAATCGGTCCTTGTGGCTAAGGCCAAGCAGCAGCCGCCTTATCGACGCAATTGGAAGCCCTTCAAGCAGGCGATGCGGTACGCAGGCCGGCCTCGAATATCGCCAGAACATGTATGGATCGATCACACAAGTGTATAACGGACATGTTCGCTGTCTGCAGGCCGCTCAGGCCGACCACAGCCACGGTACACGGTGAACTGATTCAAATCGATCGGCTCATGTACCACAGCGTGTCTTGCCTGCAGAACCGTACGCAGCCTCCGCCCATCAGCTCGCGGTCAATGCACTCAACACCGTTAGTTAATGGTTTCCGTGTAGGGCAAGTGAGTCTGCAAGAGCGGCTCCAGATCTTCGACAAGCTGCGGGAGCAGCTGGACGCCGTTGCCTGCCTCGAAGCGCTCATCGAGGGTGCTCGCAAGACCGAGCCTCTGCCTATCACCACGGTACTACAGCAGCTCACTCCCCCGTGTACATATCGGCTAACACTGTCGCAGACCTATGACATGCAGACGTGTCTGTTGTCCGGTCAGCGGGCGCTCATTCTGTCGATCCTCGAGGCGCCGGAGAGGCTCAATGCCGCCGAGTACTCTTCCATTCCACCTCTAACGCGCGCTGTTCGGAGAAGCTAAGCTCATCGTGTACCTCTTTGTCGGTTATGCACGCACAGGCGCTTCGTCCTTGACCTTGTCCGCGTCCCCAGGAGTGCCATGCTCGTTGCTCTGCGCAGTCGACCGAGCAACGACGTCCTCTTGTCCAACGCGGTACGCAAACAGATTCCTTTCTACTCGCTGCCGCATCGCCGTCGGTTTCATCTCACCGTCAATGCGGCTCGTGCGGGGTTCGATCCTACTCTGCGTATCAACAGTTCAAAGTGCTGATATGGCACCAGCGGCTAGAGCCGCTGCAGCAGCTCGTAGAGATACTCAAGCCGTTCTCACGCCGCTACATGTGGCTAAAGACGCTGCGCACTGTAATCAAGCAGTCGATCAGGATGGGTCCTATCTACCCATCGTGGACTGCCTCCTCCCCTTCTATCAAAGAGGAAGTCATATCCGCACCGACGTCGCCACCACCAGCACTACCATCCTCTTCCTACTCGTGGTCATCATCTTCGTCGACTCCCACGGCGCCAGGCCCTTCACCTGCTCCACCAAGCTACATCTCCTACATTACCAACCTCGGTTCCGCTCTTCCGCCCCCGCCGCTCATCCACGATGAAATGGCGTGCTTCTCTTCTCCTTCTGCTCTGCCTGCTGCCCCGAGGGTCCATAATTGTGTCGAGATCCCCTCTTCCGCAGACTTGCACAGCTACCTCCCGTCTTTCGGCCCTGCCGAGCCGTTGCCCCACTCACACGACGGCCGCGGTGGGCGTCTTGGGCGACAGCCTGTGTCAGAAATAGAGCAGTCGCTCAATTTCATGGAATTTGAAACATTTGCTATCAGTTTCAGTAGCGCATTTTTCACAAACGCGCAGGAATTCGGGACAATGCTGATTTTCTTTTTATCGGGACGCAACATTCTCTGGTGATGACGGAACCCTCGCTCCGAAGCAAACACAAAAGTGCAACACGGAAGGCGCGAGAGCAGACGACTCCCTGGACCACGACGCATCGGGCTCTGTGTAGAGGAGGAAGAGGCCACCCGAGTGTATAGGCCTTCACGAGAGATTCGGCGTCAGCTAAGATTCTGAACGTAGAGGCAGAGATTTCTGAACGATTGGAAAGAAGATCAAAGGTCCTTTGGCACATCTCACGTAAAGCTCCTAAACGATGGAGGACCCTGTGGGTTCGCGCCTCAGCATGCCCAAAACCAACCAAAACCAGGGCGATAAGCCCAACGGCAAAAGGCCAACCCAACCCAACATCCCGCCCGAGGTCAGACAATGGTACGCACCACATCCTTCGCCCCTTTTTGCCACAAGTCCCACCAAAACCCAGCAAATCTCTCCTTCAAATCGTGCCGCCATCGATGGGTTTCGTTCATTCTTTTGCTTTATCACGTGTGCGCACACGCCGTTGGCTCTCAACCACAACGCCAAAATAGCTGGAGCGCTACCGTAACACGGGAGCTCTTGTGATGTTAAACGATAAAAAGGAAGGAACTGCCTTTGTTGCGCCAACAACTCCTTCATCACGCGGAGTTGTTCTCTGTTTAGAGTGGCTGCACCAATCATGGAGCAGCGATCACCACTTCATCGTGCGTGGTGGACATGCCACGTGGATGATGTCTGCCTCTCTTTCGCCAACTGACCCGCACGTCCGCTGCAGGATGCAGGAAACCTACGTCAAGGGCGAAGGTGAAATTGATCGCGCAGAGATGCACAACCGGTACAGGGCCTTCTGCGAGTCCAGAGGCATCCCGCCCAAAGATCTCGCTAACTTTGGCAAGATAGTCAAGGTGCTCACTCTCGTTTGCCTCCTCCGTGGCCGCCATGTGAGAGCTTTCACTCAACGTGCCCTCCTCGGCTCTCTCTCTCTCTCTCTTGATGCTCCCACTTGCTCGCCCCAACAGAATCTGTTTCCCGATGCTGGCTATCGTCGACTCGGCTCGCGCGGCACAAGCAGCGTGTCCCACTACGCTGGCATTGTGCTTCGGTACGTGTTCTGTTCTTCTCTGTGCGGATCCACATATGGTTTCGATACACGAATCAGGATATTTCTTAGCTGGCTCACTGGGTGCGTACGGGTACAGGAACGGCGATCCGTCTCGAGCGGTCAAGTCACAACGGAAGCCCTCCTCGAAGGCTCGCCATGCGGCCAAGCAGACGGAAGAGCAGACGCCGCAGCCCATTTGCTTCGTGATGGAGACGCGTACGGCCGCTCTCCCGCTTTATTCTTTCTACAACGAATGGTCAAGGCTGACTTGCGTGGCTGTTGATCAAACAGCACAATCGCTGGCTGTATCAAAGAAGAGGCCAGCGCTGCAGGGCGAGAAGGGAGAAGAAGAAGAAGAAGAAGAAGAAGCGAGCGACTACGACGAAGATTACAGCGACGATGACGAAGAGGAGGAGGGAGAGTTGGCCGGCCTCCCGGTCATCTCGTCACAACGACACAAGCGGCTGCAGGTGAGGACACACCGGGACTTCCGCATGTGCCTCAACAGTGGACAGTCCATGAACCTCATGACCGTCATCCGAGAGTACAGGTACTTGGTCCTGCTTCTCCCTTTCCCCTTTTTTCTGCTGGGCCGCTTCCTGCGTAACGTGCGCTGCTGATCGCTATTTGTATGTGGCGTGTGTACGCGCCCATCAGAGATATGTACCGAAATGAGCTGTGGGGACTGACGCCGACCAATCCGGCCAGCATGAAGTCGCCGCTGATCAAATACATTCTGCTCGATGAGGAGGGAAAGAAGGAGAGGAGCTCTCTTTCCTTCTCGTGCCTGCTCATGCTCTGCGTTGGTAAGAGTAGCCCCTCCCCCCTCGTTCCATTTCGCGTTTGGAGTCGCTGCGATGACGCGCTAAATCACGACGTCTTGCCCCCTCGTGCAGCGAGCTTTCTGAATGGGGACTGGGGCTACTCTCGATCGTTTTACAATCTGGTACGCCGACTCGCGCAAACACAAGCAATCGTACTTGTGGTTCAGGCCTGACCCCCTCCCCCGTGATTTGACCCGTCTAGGCGAGGGAACACCTGAGCGCGATAGACTCCAAGGAGTACGACGTGGCTGCCGGTCTCGTTGCCTTTGGCTGGTGGGTCACCTTCTACGCCCACACCGCCGAGGAGGGTAAGCGAACGCAGCTCGAGCACGTCCGGCAGGGGCTCGACATATGTCACCACCTCAAGGCCTACAATGACGAGGTCCATTGGCTTCTACTGAGGTACGTGCGGGCCGAAAGAATCCGCGGTCGGAGCGCTGGGCAACGCTATCCTTTCGAGCTCACTCTGCATCATCGCGCGCACCAGCTTGGAGAGCGCCAACACAACGCAGAAGAAGGTGGAGCTCATCGAAGCGAGCAAGAAGCTTCCTCCATATAATCGCGGGTGGAAGAACTTCAGGAACCTCAAGAGGCCGGCGAGCATGGAATGGGCAGATAACTTCCGGCAGGTGAATGTCATGTTCCAGTATGTGCTGTCTTCTGTTAGCGTGATGAGATCGAGTACGCCCCTTCTTCCGACATAGCGCACGGCTTGATTTTCGCAGCGAGGATCGTTCTGTCTGACGTTTGCACGTGCCTCTCCACAGAGGAGCAAACCGAGGAGAAGAAGGAGCGGACACGAACTCTTTACGCTCAGCTCAACAAGTCAGTCGAATTGGAAAGGGGCCTGAAGAACGCTATGCACTCCAACCACAGGCCCTCCATGCAGGTAGAATTCCCACCACCCAACTAGCCAAGTGGCATGCTTCTAATATTGGCTGCTCGCCCGCTCGTTCAGACGTTCAACATGTTGATGACATTCAACTACTCTCTGCGTGCGATGACCTGCAACCTGTTGGGACTGAGCAAGGACGTCAAGGCCGCGGAGTACGTCACGTGACGGAGCTCCGTCCCAACACTCAGTCGCTTTCTTTTCCGATTCCTCTTGATCACTGATCTTCTTCTGTGCTCGTTGATTCATGATGCCAGGGATTTGATCAATTTCCTGCTGGGCGTACCGGCGCCGATGATGTTGATCAGTATTCACGGCATAAGTTCGCAGTGTGACTACGTGCTCGTCAAGAACGCGGTACGCTGCTCCACTCCGCGCGCCCGGGCACTGCATTTTCCTCACCCACGACCTTCATCATCTAGGTCGACGTGCTAGTGGGTGCGGGGAAGCTGAAGCCCCTTCGGATGCTGCTCCAGCGCATCGAAGACAGCAAGATCCAAGAGCCCTTCTACTGGCTCACCTACATTTGTACATACATCGAGTCGAAGCTCAACGCTCCTCGCACACCCGCGCCGGTGGCCACTTCGCCTCCCTTCGCAGCCCCGCACGCGAGCTCTCCTCCCCACTACGGTCACTCGTCATCCGGGTCATCCTCTCCTTCCTCTTCGTCGTACTCGTCGCCGCCGATCCCTTCCGGACCCGTCTATGGCCGCCCGGCGCAACATCACCGCCAGGCCCTCGTCGCGCCAGCGCACGAGCCCTTCGGGTACTCCGGTCAGAACCGCGATGACATACCGCATGCTCGCCACAACCCCTATCAGCACCTCCCGCACATGCGTCACCACCCCGACCACGAGTACCACCAGGGTCGGGCGCAGGAGAGGCACTGGTCGCATGTCCCGGAACCGCCGCAGGTGGGCAGCAGGCTCGCCTACGGCACGATCTCTCCTCCGCTCGCCAACTCGTCGCCGACCTATCCGACGCCACCATCCAACGCCGATTCGCCGGCCACGTCTCCCGTGCGATTCGATGCCGCCCCCACGTCGCCTCCGTTCGGGGTGAAGGGATTCGTGCCCATGCCGGCGCCGCTGCCCATGACCTCGACCTTCTCGAGCTATCGCAGCAGCGACAGAGACCACCAGTCCTCAGGCTTCGAGTGGTCGTCGCAGATCGTCGGCTCCAGCCCAGCGAGCGCCAGACCCCCGAGCCAGCGCCACCAGCATTCCGCCTTGCCGGCCTCGACTTTGCTTGGACCCTCGTCCGTCCACGCGTCCACAAGCGCAACCACCTCAGTCTCTGCGCCGATGGTCGGCTTCCCCGAGACGCCGTGGATGGAGTCCGCCGTGCGTGGAGGTGGCTACGGTGGTCACCGCCAGCCACATGCGCCAGTCCCGCCGCAACACAACTACCAGCACCAGCACCAGCACCGCCAACTACCGCCTCAGCTTCCACCCGACTACCCTCACGTTCATCAGCACATGCATCTGACAGCGCCATCGCCGGCCGATTTCCACGAGCTGAGCGCCGTCGCGGATCCCGGGCTCTTGCAGTACGAACTTGAGCTGCTCTCGTGCCCCAATGACTACAGCTTCGCGGAGGACGTGCGCGCACCTCTCGAGCACGGCCTCCGCTTCAACAACAACATCAGCAGCAACAACAACAACATCCGCCCGCCGGGTCCTCCGAACTGGCAACCCAACTACCGCGCCTGAGGGCCTGCCTTGGTTGCCCACACGGCCTACGCGTTGTGCGGAAGCAGCTGTTTATTTATTTGTTTTTTGTCGACCAAAAAAAAAAAGAAAGAGCTCCGGCGTTGGCACAGCCAAATCAAAAAAAACATTACCAACAGAGCGAATCAGCATGTACAGGGGCGGTAGCCGAGCGTTCGGTGGCAGCTTCAAGCGCACCTTCTCCGCGGGTTCGCAGGGCGCACGATCAGCGAGCGCGCGATCGGAATTCGGCGGGTCCGGCGCGCGCTTCTTCACATCGAGCAGTGGCAGCGCCAAATCGCAGACATTTGGAGGCGCTAAATCGAGGAGCGACCCATTCAGCTCGTCTTCTTCGTCGAGCAAGCGATCGTTCTTCACCAAGCCTGCCGCTCCGGCTCAGCACGAATCGACCCGATGCCAGCGAGCGCAAATTTCCATCGCTAGCGGTCTCTCCAAAGGGTACGTGTGCCACCCCTTCTCCGCTGCCGCTGTCCCTCTTAGCATGCCTATCTCCTCCGCCCTTTTTCTTGGAATTGTGCACTTGGACATGCCGGCAGCTGACAAAAAGTGCCGAATCTCCTCAGTGTCCGCCCCTTGTGCATCGCAGCGCTGTCTCACCCGGGCCTCCTCTCCCTGGCCACCGAGAGCGGGGGTATGTTTCGCTCTCTCTCTCCAGTCTTTGGTTTTGATGTAACGCACTCCGGCGAGTGTCGTGCCCTCGCTTACCAGTTGCTCTCCCGTGTGTGATGCTCGTGGTCTACGTATGTGCGTATGCTGATGGACGGTTCCCTTCCTTTCTTTCTCTTTCTCTTTCGCTGCAGAGGACGATGAGGGTATGTGACGGCTCCTCCAGCCCCATCTCCTGTTTTCATTCAGCACGTCTTCTTTATAACCACCGCACTACACAGGCAGGTGACCGTTCTCTCTTCCTCTGCAGGGAATTGACACCACTACCATGTCAATAATAAAGAAGCGGAGGAGGAGGTTAAACCACCATCACCACCTCGCCAACGAGAAGACAACAACAAGAAGACCAGTGATACGGAGAAGGAGATGGAGCGATGATGGAGGCCCTACGCAAGGTTGAAGGAGGAAGAGACTGGAAGGGAAGCGAACTGAACGAGTAGCAGTGTAGGCAGAGGGAGGCAGAAGAGGTGGCGCCATCTGATGGCCGTGCATGTGGTCATCGACACTGCAGAGCCGCAACATGATCGTGTTCTACGCCCTTGTTTGTTTGTTTATTTTTATTTTATTTTATTTTATTTTTTATTCTTTGCACACGAAAAAAATCCTCTGTTTAATTTCAAACATCGCCAGGCAACAAACCAATCGTGAAAAAGCCCTTGCGGGAAAAAAAGGGCGACAACACCTCGGCTGACTACAACCTGTGGCGATTAGATCCGCACGCATCGCTGGCAACCGATCTTCTGGACAGGAACACCATTAGACTGTCGAGGGAGTAGCCGGCTGAAAGAAAAAAATGGCGACGGTGGAGGAGCGGATTAACGCTTTGGAGACCTTCGATTTGGTTGATGGGCAGCCCAACATCGAAGGACCCACGTTTGCCGTGGCTTTCGAGTCCATGAGCACCAACGGCTATGGCCATGTGGACAACAAGGCCTTCGAAACCAAATGGACGGAGGAAATCGACAAAGTGCGCCAGCTGGTTCGTACTCCTCAATTCTCATGAGAGAATTCATTTTTCCCATCGTGCTTGCCCCCCCTGCGATTGCTTGTTCTCAACTAACGCCACGATTCGCTTTACAGCAAGAGATTTTGCAGCGGGGGGACGCGTTCATCAAATTGGTCTACGCCTACCGGTCCTGCTTGAAGGCCATTCCCCAGGTAAAGCCCCGCGCAATTCGCATTTTGTACAATCCTATCTCTACAGGGCACACCCTCTGAGCACGCGCAACAACGCAGGTGAAAGCCCAAGATGATCCCAACAAGGGCACCATTTATGAAAAGACATTCGAAGTGCTCGAGCCCGAGATCAAGAAGCTAAAGGATCTCATGTACTTTATGCGCGACACTGTCAAGCTGGTATTGCCCCCAAACCCATCAGTTTAGAATCTGCCTCTTCAATTTTTGTTGAAAACATGTTCTCACAACGCCTTGCCGCCAACTAGTTTGCCGACCACGTCAAAGTGCTGGCTGCCGCTCTCAACTCCGGAAAGAAGAAGCCCAGGCCCATCTCTGAGATCTACATCCACAAGCTCGGACAGATGCTCGACTTCTTCACCATTATGAACGCGCTGAAGAACATGAAGGCCAGCCCTAACAACGATTTTTCGTTCTTCAAGCGGTACGGTCCCTCTCTCTTCTGCCTCGAATGACCTCGGGAGGTCTCATATCCTGTTGTCGCTTCTCTGTTGTGTTTGTCTGCGAACAGAACGATTGGTTTCCTGCGCAAGCAGATGACCAACGACGAGCAGGCCACAGAAAACCACTCCCTCTACCTGTTCCTCGCGCCCCAGAACTCCATCACAATGAACCTCAAGACCGAGCTGCAGCAAATCAACGGGTACAAGCCCTCTTCCTCGACACTCCTTTGCGCTCTTCTTCTTCATCTTCTTCTTTGCTTTTGTTGTCACCGATTGGCCTTGTTGTGCTCACAATCAATCGTTCTCACCCATTAATTTAACGCGTGCGCGTTCGCGTCCAGGTTTGACGACGTCTTGGCTCTGGTGGTGAACCAGTGCGCGCGGTACTTCGAGGATAACATGTGCCTCGTGCCGCAGGAGAAGCACTCGCTGCTCCGTGCGATGTCCTACGGCCTCTACCTCATGGACGGCGACAACGAAAAGCTCAACGTCTTCAAGAGCAAGAAGATCTCCCTGTCGCCCTTCCAGAAGTTCTTCAAGGTTCGACCACACCACCACCATTGCCTCCTTCCTTCGCGCTTCACCCCGACCAATCGGCGGCTTTTATGGCTAATGTCCCGACGCTGTGTGCGCCACAGAAATACCCGATCGTGCCTCTGTACGGTGACATGCAGTTCTCGCTGGAGCAGACCATCAAGAGCTGCCCCCACTACGACGAGAAGACATGGGGCCTCCCGCTCGAGGACAGGAAGCTGGCTGTGGAGTACGAAATCCAGGGCCAGATCGACTCCATCCGAACCGAGTACAACATGTACCTCGCCAAGTTCACCAGCATGATCCACCAGGTGCCCCACCCACCCCGTCCCACTCGCGCCTCCCCCTCCCCGAGCGAGAACCGTGATGAACACCTTATTGCTACTTGTCCGATTTTACCGTGACGATCAACTACCACCAAGATCTGAGCTTCTCCCGCACCACAATGTTTTTGTATACAATCAATGCCAGCGCACAGCTATGCATTCGTTGCCTGACTCTCATGTGTACGTGCGCGCAGATCAACGCGTGGCGCCAGAACAGCAGGGGCGCCAAGTACATGCCGGAGGCCGACAACAAGGCGCACTACACCACCATCTTGGAGGGCCTGCGACTGCTCTCCGACTGGTCGGGCAAGGTGCTGCTCCAGAGCGCGTGGAAGTACGCCCACCCCAACACCAACGACAAGCTCGGAGGCGAGGAGGTGAAGAAGTACGAGCGCGTGGTCAAGCACAACTACACCGACGAGGAGCGCTTCGCGCTCGTGGAGATCATCGCCTGCTTGAAGGGCCTTGCGGCGGTCATGCTGCGCAACGACGGCCTCCTCTCGCCCATCATCCGCACCCACATTCACACCGAACTCCAGGACTTTGTCCAGGTGCGGCATCCCTCTATGCGTTGGTTGTTTATTTTAGTCGTAATCATGGCCACACCTTGACTGATCTGTGGATTCCCCAACGCGGGCAGGTTCACCTTCGCGAGATGATCGCCTTTGCCTCGAAGAAGAAGAAGGCCGTCCGTGAGGAGCTCCTCCAGCTGAGGACCATGGCCGCCGACTGGAAGGGAGGGCAGGAGCCAGACGACCCGGCGCTGTTCGGCAAGAAGGTGAAGACGAGCAAGACCACCACCGGCTCGGACGTGCCGGAGCGGGCCGTGGGTCCCTCGCAGACCCAGCTCGACCTCATCCGCACGATCGTGTACGGCCTGGTGGCCCATCGCTACCTGGACAAGAAGCTCGAGTACTCGGACAAGGACTACGGCAGCTCGTCGATTAAGGTGATGGAGGAGTTCCTGCAGAAGTCCTTCTTCTACAAGTACACGATCAACTACACCGGCACCATCTTCCAGGTGACCGACCTGGCCGACCTCTGGTACCGAGAGTACTGGCTCGAGCTGGACAAGTGCCTCCAGTTCCCCATCGAGCTGTCGCTCCCGTGGATCCTCACCGACCAGATCCTCGAGTCTGGCAACTCGGCCATGATGGAGGTACGCACCACCGGCGCACTGAAGATGCGAAAAATGCTTCTGAAACTGAAACAGAAACTGAAACTAAAACGTTTGCGTACGCCACTCACTAGTTCCTGCTGTACCCGCTCGACCTGTACAACGATGCGGCCAACAGGGCGCTGTACTCGCTGCACCAGCGGTTCCTGTACGACGAAATCGAGGCCGAGGTCAACCTGTGCTTCGATCAGCTCGTCTTCAAGGTCAGCGAACAGATCTACACCCACTTCAAGATCCAGGCCTCCAGCCTGCTGTTGGACAAGCCCTACAAGCAGCAGCTCGAGCTCATCTACAGCGCCGCGCGATTCCACACGCCCAAGTCGCGCTACTACGTCATCCTCAAGCAGAGGCACTTCCAGCTGCTGGGTCGCTCGATCGACCTCAACCACCTGATCGGTCAGCGCATGAACAGCAAGCTGAGGCAGAACATCGACTTTGCCATCAGCCGTTTCGAGGCCTCCGACATCACCACCATCATCGAGGTACATGTCCTTCTCTGTGTAGTTGTACTAGGAGTAGTCGTGGCGCCCTTGCTCACCAACGTTATTGTCGTGCACGCGTGCAGTTGGAGACGCAGCTCAACAACATCCGACTGATGCACTCGCTGCTGTCGGAGCACCTCGAGTTGGACAGCTTCGAGGACATGCTCAACGAGGTCAACGAGAGCACCTCGCTCGTCTCCTTCCACGGCCGTGTCATCCTCCACGTACGTACTACTTACTAAGAGCACACACCTCACACTCGCTCCTCCCCCGCCAAATTGCGAGGCAAGTCGCTAAACGTGTGCGCACCGACACAGGCCATCTTCGAGCTGGTGTACGACTTCTTCCCGAACTACAACTTCAACTCGATCACGAACCGGTTCGTGCGCTCGCCGATCAGGGGCGGCGACGTGCCGCGCGAATCGATGCCCAAGCCCAAGATGCCCTTCATGTACGGCTCGAAGGCGCTCAACGGCGCCTACGCCAATGTGTTCCAGCTCCAGCAGCACTTTGTGGGCATCGACCACTTCATGTCCCTCATCCGCGTGCTCGGCCGGACCAACCTGCCGCTGCTCGTCGGCGAGTGCCTCGAGAACTTGAACCTCAAGATCCAGAACGTGCTGGTGCCCTACGTTCGCGAGCTGTTCGTCGGTATGCCGCCGTCGACCAAGCTGCCCATGTTCTTCTACGGTACTCGCGCCCTCTCTTGAATGCAAGCCGAGCCATTGAACCGGCTGCTACGCTGGGAGTTGAGCTGGTCGGGCACCATCGACTGACGATCGCAACTGTTGTGCGCGTTCTTATTGTTGCAGGTACGGACGGTAACTACGGTTGGTACAAGATGCAGCTGAAGGACATGATCGGCTACGCTGAGCTGAACGAGGCCTTCCGCCACTTCAAGGAGTTTGGCAACACCATCGTCTTCCTCAACTTGCTCGAGTCCGCTCTGGTACGAACCGTCTTGCTTCCCCGTTGTTAGGGCACCCGCCACTCGAGTGCTGTGCGACTCACTCGTCCGGGCCTTTGCGCCTTGACACTTGGTTGTGCAGAGCCTGGTGGAGAACCAGCGGTTCGTGCAGACCGCGCCGTTCCTGGGCATCAACACGGAGAACGTCAACGCGCCGCCGACCGACCAGGACCCCAGCGCCTCCTCCACGGTCTACATCACCGCCGCCGCCATCCTGGGTCACCTGGAGGCCCACCCCCACCTCGCCAAGGCTCCTCACATTCTCAAGGGTACCCTCTCTTTTTAGCCTGCCCTTGTTCTGGGCTTCTCTAACAGGCTTGTCGGTGGCGTTGTTGTCGTCGTCAACAGATTTGCTGGTGCACACGTGGAAGGCGGACAAGTTGTACAGGCCACAGCCGGTGCCTCGTTCGCTGTTCAAGGCCGCTCTCGCGCGCGTCGACGAGATGGTGGCGCGGGTGAAGGACACGTGGTCGGGCCACATGCCCGACAACGGTCTCCTGTCGGTCGACCACACCACCGAGTTCTACCGTCTGTGGAGCGCCCTCCAATTCGTACGACTCGCCCGCCCCGACCAATGGCCTGCGCATTGACGACGTCGACCGACCCTAACATTACTCGTCTCCCCTTCTCTCTCTCTCTCTCTCGCGTGTTCAGGTGTTCTGCCTTCCCACGGAGGAGGGCGGCATGTCGTGTCAGGAGAAGTTCGGTGACGGATTCGTGTGGGGCGGCATCACCCTGGTGTACCTCCTCCAGCAGGAGCAGCGCTTCAGGGTGTTCGACTTCTGCTCCCACATCCTCAACGTCGAGGAGGCCCTGCCCGTCGCCGGCAATGCCAAGGATGTACGATACCGTGCCGCTCCACTCCACTGCTACTCACCGCTCACGTCTTCTCTCCCTCCAGCACACCATCTTTGCGTTCCTGCCGGTGGCGGGTCAAGTGAGGGACCTGAACCAGCACATCTTCAGCACCCTGCACGTGTTCCACCCCGTCACCCTCTCCAACATCCTCATCCTCCACCCGCCCAAGGAGGAGGTGACCCTGGAGTTCATCAACCACAACGGACCCATCGCCTCGGGTGCTTACGACACCACCATCAGCCAGTCCGGCGACATCGTACGGCCGCACCCCCCCATCCCCATCCCCACCCATTGACCCTTTTGTTGCTGTTCTTCACTCACTCGACCGCTCGCTCCGCGCAGAGTGCGCACCCCTCGTCCGGCCACCACGCGCCGAGCTCGCTGACCCCGCTCAGCTCTGCGCCGTCGTCGGGTTCCGCGCCGAGCCTCTCGCCGCGCATGGCCGCCGGCGGCCCCCCGCCTCCCTTTGGTGGCGCCCCTTCGCCTCGCGGCCAGCTTCCGCCCCCGCCCGGCAGTGGTCCTTCGCCTCGCGGCTCTCCTTCGCCGCGCGGCGGCCCTCCCCCTCCGCCACTCGCCCGCGACGACGACTACGAGGCGCCTCCTCCGCTGGCTCGCGATGACTTTGGCGCGTTCGACGAGGAGTACGCGTACAACGACTACAGCAGCCCGCCCCCGTTGCCGCGCGACGAGGAGGTGTTTGACTTTGGCGCGCCGCCGCCCCTGCCGCCCGATGACTTTGACTACGGCCCGCCCCCGCCGCTGCCCCGCGACGACTTTGGCGCGCCGCCGCCCCTGCCCTACGATGACTTCGACGCTCCTCCGCCGCTCCCACGAGACTAAGCCGTGTCACTACCGGTACGCACGTGCGCTCTGCTTCCTTTCGCTTGTGGGTAGGCTACGGGTCTGACACACACAGACATTGCAGGCCTCGCTGGGCAAGTAAGCAAGCCACACACACAGCAACGGTGGAGAGGACAGCATCGATGCTCCGTGTAGCCACCAACAACGTCAACCCCAACGTCGTCTCCCGCCAGCACTTTCCCAACTCTTATCATCATTTCTTCTCTTTTGCGACTTTGCGTCATTGCGGCGAGTGTTTGTGGCGCTTAGGTCTGTCCCGCGTGTTGGCATTGACTCGAGCGAGCGAATGTACATTGTAGCGTATCAGCAACCTCTCTCTCCCTCTCGCGGTGGTGCTTCCTCTTTTCTTCCTCTTTCGTCTTCCTTGTGCCCACCGCTCTACTCTTCGAGGGCGAGGGTGTGGTCGCGTCTGGCGGTCGCGGGCGGGGGCACCCACACCACCTCCGTACGCCCATGCACCACCTTGAACAAGCGAGCAACGAGGTGAGCCACGTCGGCTGGTGGTTCGAGTTTGGAGTAGTACCTGGATGGCCAAGCGCCAGCCGAGGCCAGGCCCCACCCACTCCTCTGCAGCCGTGTTCTCGTCCTGTTGTAGCAGCTGGCGTGCACGAAGCAGGCTCTCCTGCGAGGGAGTCGACGTCTCTCGGCCCGAGCCCGTCACAAACGACGGCCACCCTCCTGCGCTCATCGATCGTCTTCTTCTTGGCTCTACAAACTTCGGTTTTGCAGGAATTTTGTCTATTGTTGACGTTACAAAACGTTTCGTAAAACGCAAAACAAAACAGAAAACGCTTCGGCAGAATTCTGCCCAGATGCCAGACATTCTTCACAGCGGGGCCAGTGGGGTTGTTGTCGCCCGGAAGGTTTGGGCTTTTTGTACACGCGGGCACCCTGCCTCCCCACCTACAAACAACCAACGCTCGAGAGGACACGTCGCTACGAGAGCCATGCTGTGGTCGCTGATTGTTGCGGGGGTGACCGTGCTGCTGCTCGCTCTTCATCTGCACCACCGCAAGGTTCGACCCGCCTCGCTGGGCGCCCTACTTTATCTGCTTGAGTGACTGACGGTGTTGGGCGTGTAGAGGAAGCTGGACATACCTGGTCCTTACCAGCTGCCCATCTTGTGCAACCTCATCGACACTTTCCGCCACAAGCACCGCCTCCAAGACTACATGCTCGAACAGGCCAGCAAGGTACAACTTTTGTTGCGCTGCACAGGGCTTCACCAAGCTGACCTCTGTGCAGTCGCCCAAGGGCACCTTCCACTTCGTGTTGCCTTTCGGGGGCGATACGGACGTGATGGTCACAGACCCGCCCTCGGTCGAATACATCCTCAAGACCAACTTCGAAGTGCGCAACCTTTCTTCAACCCTTGTTGCCTCTTGTTCAACGAGCTCACCTTCCTCCTCCATATATGTGTAGAACTTCACCAAGGGTCCCCACTTCAAGGACAAGCTTCAAACTCTGCTGGGAGATGGCATCTTCAACACCGACGGTCAGCCATGGAAGGAACAGAGGTGCAGCAACCTTATGATCGGAGAGATCGCTTTTGGCTTCAACGTCGACTCCATGCACAAGGACTGCTCCTTCTCGCAAGCCTTCGACGCCGCGCAGGAGTGCGCCGTCGATCGGTTCCTCTGGCCGTTCTGGAAGGTACCATCAGACCAAGAAGACCAGGCACAACACACAAGTGAATGGTTCACAATCACTCTTCTTTGGTTTGCAGTTCACTCCTTCGCCGATGGCCAGCTACGTGAAGATCCTGAACGACTTTGCCGCAAACGTACCACTGCCCTAATCGCCCAGCAACTGGTGCCCAAGCTAACACCATGTGATGCACATACAGCTCATCAAGGAGAGAAGGCAAGACCCAGATGTTCGCGACAGAAACGACCTCCTGTCGCGCTACATGTGCA